ATTAGGACCAATTCTCTATAGCCAGTGCTGAACAAAGTCCCTTCAATAGAGCAGAATCTCAAGAAGGGTTTGGTGACATTGTTACCAGTCTTGAAAATCAGGAATCAGGATCGGATCTTTGTTGCTCCCACCACCCTAGAAGAGTAAATACCCAAGAAAAGCCAAGGCAAGAGTAGAAAGCAAATTTTATTTAAAAAACAGAAGAGATAGATAGATAGAGATAGAGATGAGAGAGAGAGAGAGAGAGAGAGAGAGAGAGAGAGAGAGAGAGAGAGAGAGAGAGAGAGAGAATTGCTGCCAGGGACCCAGAGTTGGTGTCCCTGGGAGTATGGGTGACTTGCATTTTTATAGACCCCGCATTTACTTTCTTCCCTGCAGAAATGCCCAAAAGGCAGGAAAGAATGGTGGTGGTGGGGAATCACTTGTGTTGGAAAGTATGATCCTTCCCCTCCCCGAGAGATGTTAGTAATCTTAGCAACCTGTTGATGGGGAAGTGCTATCTACCCATTTCCTTTTCTTGGATAATCTGCTACATGTCCTTTGCCCCAGTCTCAATATTGCTACTGGTGATACTTCATCCAATTAGAGCCCAAAAGAAAAAAATCTGAGAAAAAGCAAGATCATCCATAACTTAGGGACTCAGAAAGATGAAAGTTGGCTAGAAAGTGTTGGGAGTGATCAGGGCCCTGTTTTTTGTTCTGTTTTGTTTTATTGATTTTATTTTTTTTTTAAATACATGACAGCAGAATGCATTACAATTCTTATTACACATATAGAGCGCAATTTTCCTATCTTTGTATATAGAGTATGTTCACGCCAATTCATGCCTTTCTATATGTACTTTTTTTGGCATTATAATTCTTATTACACATATATACCACAATTTTTCATATCTCTGTTTATATATAAAGTATGTTGACACCCAATTTGAGTCTTCATACATGTACTTTGAATAATGATATCCATCACATTCCACTGCAAGGCCCTGTTGATGAGAAAATTTTTTCTCTTGTTCCACAGTGGCAGAATATGTGTTTATTTTATAATTTGCTCCTTTAGTCCCATAATCATTTTTCTTTCAGATGTATTGAAATAAATGACTGCAAAATTGTGTCACCATAATTGTCGACTTCTTTTTTTTCACCTATCCTTTTCTTTCATTGGTGCATTGTAATTATACATCATAGTGAGATTCATCGATTTGCTCTTTATTCAGAGTTTACCTGAAACAATAATTATGACAATAATAATGTTTGTGATTCATTAGATACACAAATGTTCTAGGTATTGTGTTAGGTTCTGGTATACATTAGCTCTGAAGTTTAAAGCTCATTAAAAAATGACTTTTTGTAGCTACATAGTGTCAACTTATATCTTTTACTTAACATCCTGAAGCAGATATACCATTTCAAGAGACACTAATAACATTATTGCCAGGCTTCCCCAGAATTGTTCTTGGGTAGGAGGGTTACTGAAGTTGAAGATGTGACCCTTGAATGGGGAAATACAAGCCATACTCTGTTCAGGAGTCTATTTGCACTGAAAAAACTAAGTACTACTAGAAGTCTTGGCAGGGTCTGGTCCAGTTCCTTTGCTTCCCAGTATAGTCAAAAAAGCATGCACACACATGTGTACACACACACACACACACACACACAAAAGAACCAATTACAGATTCACAGATCATCTGTTATATTGATGCATTTTCTGAGCAGGCATTTTTGATGGGGAGAATATCTTATAATCAAGAACTTTAAAAATAGACAAACTAATAGTAGACTTTTTTCTCCCAATAAGGGAATCTATATCCCTTCCAGGTGTTACATCAACAAAGGAACAGATATAGTAAGCAAAGTTCCAGCTGAATGTTGGCCACAACTCAGTGTTTTGTGTAGCACACCTCATGAACAACGGTTCGTGGCACTCCGGACACAAGGCACAGTACTGCTTATAAAATAAAGGTGAAATAAGATGAAATACACTTTCATCTTAAGAGTCTCTCTATTGGATGTTGCAACTTATAAGTAGAAGTAAAAAGTTCTCTCTTTCTAATGTGAAACCCTAAGTAGAGCAACAACTACAACAAATGTATGTCCAATTTTGATAGGTTAACCAGAGACTTTTGCACTGCAGAGCAAAATTTATTGTGAATTCTAAGGTTTGGCCAGATGACCTGTGGGTTTTCAAAGAGTGAAAGTGCAGCCCTGGGGAAAGTGAATGGCAGATGCATGTATTGGAGGACAGTAGGGGAAGGAAAAGGAAAGATGGTGATCTTTGGTCTGAGAAGTGTGTTAAGAAATCTTGAAAAGTGACTGAATATGAGGCCATAAGAAATGAAAAGATCTTAACATATTAATGTGAAATCTATACTCGATCAGGAAACAAAGTTAACAGAATTAGTTATCTTCACATATTCTCTTGTTTCATGATGCTTACAAAATAGTGTTGTTAATCTACTTAGTGGATTGTCAGGCAGAGGCTGCAGCTAGGACTCCCAAGCTCTGTAAAAGTCTATTTCTTTAGCTTAAAGTGTAGAGAAATACAACATTAAATATGTTTTTGAAAAAAAGGTGAGGGATGGGGAGGGTATTCACCTATAATCTTATAACTCCAATATTTTCTTTATTAGTTTTCCCCCAATACAAAATATATTCAGTTGCAATTATGTACCTGCAATTTTGTGCTCTACATTTTTGTTTTTCTCACGTGTCTTTTATATTTTCAATAGTTTCTGTAAATATTACTTATAACAACTGCAAAATATTCCTTTGAGTGACTATACTACATACTTTAGTTAACTATACTTTAGTTAACTATTTTCCTTTTGTTGGATATTTAATCCTTTTTGATTCTTTACCATTTATTTATTTATTTATACATACCAGTTTGAACCCAGGGGTGCTCAACCACTGACCTACAACCCCAGGTTTTTTAAAAAAATTTTATTTTGAGACAGGTTCTCGCTAAGTTGCTTAGGGCCTCACCAAGTTGTTGAGGCTGGCTTTGAACTTGTGATCCTCCTGTCTCACTCAGTCTCCTGAATCACTAGGAATACAAGCTAGCACCACCATGCCCAGCTAGAGTTTTTATCTTTTAATAAAGGAAATAAGACTATCTATATATATCATTATCTACACTTGGTCTTTGGAAATCATTCTATTTTATTTAAAAAATACTTTTGCCCTGCCTTTCAATTAATGGCTCATGCTTTTGTCTTGTATTCTACAATTTGTAAGATGAACATAATTATTAAAATTCTATTGGTGATTAAATTTTAAGGGAGAGGTTCTCAATCCTTAGTGGCTATCGGGATCTCTTATAATGCTTGTTAAAATGTATATTTCTAGTCTCTATTTTCAGATGTTCTGATTAACTTGACCTGGGGCATAGACCTAGGCATTCTCATGTAGGAGTTTATAGAGCACATGGAGATAATTATGTTTCAGAAAAATTTAGGGATATCTTTTAGCAAAATTGCTAATTTCGGTCTTCTATCTGAGAGCTATGAGCTCTCTTCATTCTTTCAGCCTTGACTTCCTCTCTGCTGCCTGGTGAGCTTGGACATAAAGCCAAACTAGACTTTAAGCTTTATAGAAACAAGACTCACACAACTGCACAAGTTGCCTCCAAAGTTTTACCTGAATGCAAGTAAAGACAGAAAGGATGGGGGGCTGCCATCTATGTGTGTGGGATGGCAAGGAGTGTGGGGAAGATGATATAAGCAGGACTCAGGGTCCACACCAGTATTATTTTCTAGCCATGAAGTTATATGATAAGAAAACAGCAAATCTATTTGATTTCTAAAGAAATCTAAAAAGTAGCTTCAATAAAAACAAGAGTGTTTAACATATCTAGTCAGATTTATAATTTGATGAAACTAATGGTTTAAACTCTCATTCAGCATTTAAAAAAATCAGTATTTCTACTTTATCAGAATAAAATATCTGTATGTTTATCACACTTCCCCCAAAGGCATCAGAGAATAAATGTGTGATTAGAACCCAGTATGTTTGTATATGGTATTCTCCTATTTTAGAGTGTCCATCATGAAACTCAAAGCATTTGTCAAACTGTTCTTTTCCTTTATTTCTCAAAATAAGCAATGAGTGGGCAGATATCATCCCATTTTATAATCACAGAAAGAGAAGCACTGAAAAGTGGAGTTCTTTGCTTATAGTCCCACTTTAGCTAATTGAACTCTTTTATGGAATTGTTGAGGGGTTGGTGTCAAGCTTTTTTAGCCTTTTAAGTGTTACAGCAGACTTAGCACTGCTGAAAGATAATTTTTATGTCTCTATCATAATTCTGCATGTTTTGGGACAGAAATTAAAACCTTCCTTTTTTGATATTTTGCAAATATCAAAGAGGTATTTACAGAAAATGGGGCAGAAGAGATAGTGACTCTCTCTGGAACAAAGGACAAGCATACTTTCTGTCCAATATAAAATATTCCAGTTCCCTAAGTTCAGGGTCCCTTTCCTCCATTGCACATGCAGCATCTTTGTGGGCCCATCTGTATTGCCTCTGTGGGACTTGAGGACAAGGGAGAACTGATAAAAAGTATGCTATTCATGCTGCTTGCTGTGCCATCAGTTATAAAGTCCCTTGTCTTTGACCCAAGAATCTCATATCATCAGCCAGTGTCCATGAAAATGTACCATGCTAAATTGCTAGTTCATCAACAAGGTATAATATCATAGTCTTTTTAGTTCTTGACAACCAATAATACTCAGTATATTCTGGGTCTTCTGACTGTAAATTTATGGTACTTGGCCTATAAAGTGCAGCCAAAGAAGAAATAAGAGAAACCACATATTTTCTGGGAGAAAAAGATATCTTCTTGAGTTACCTGCTAATGAATATGGTTAATCTGCTTTGTATTTGAAATTGTAAATTTGGAATCATAAACTTGTGTGAATAACAAATGTCTTATTACTTTATTCTCTGCAAGTCACTGAGGTGGTGATTCTCTGACTTTGTCTTCACTGTTTTCCTTATAGAGATTTCAACTTTCTCAGGAAGTGAGGGCAGACCCAGTGTGGTCCATTATGGTCCTTTCTGGTGTGCCTTTGTCTAAGACAGTGTGGTCCCCTTGAAGTAGCCAACCCTGATGCTTCCATGATAATCTTGGCCATGGACTTTTTAACTGAGGAGCTACCCCAGGGAGGTAAGTGAAGTTCTAAAGATACCCACTGTTTTCAGATTACGGGGAGCCCTCTTTCACTGCAAGGCTAATTTCTTCCTCATCATCCCTGTAGCACAATATTTTCAAGGGGCTCACAATTTTTTGAAAAAAAAAAAGTCAGGAAGGAATACCCTGGAGCAGAGGAGTTTAAAGCATTTGGATTTTTTTTTTTTTTTCTGGAAAGGAGCTGAAAAGGGAAAATAATTTGAGAGGAAAGCATAATTTAACATTTAAATAAGTTATTCTATTATACTGTATTTTTATATCTCATCCATCTTTATGTTCTCTTTGGATCCTGCTCCCTAATAGAAATGGGTGACCAATTTTAGAGTGCTACATGGACCATTTTAAGGATACCAGTTCCAAGAGAGTAGTTTGTGTGGAGTTAAAGGAAAAAAGTAGCACACAGAGAATGAGCAAAACAAATAGGAAATATTTAGGGCTCTGACCTCCTTTGTTCTATTCGGCTAGTAACCTATTCCCTATGTCAGACTCTCAAGGTAAAAGCAACCAACAAAATGCCTGCTTAACCAACACTTTTCCATTCAAAGACTATGTAAATGACAATAAAACTCTGGCAGTATGTGCAGATTCTCTTGCATACTAGATTCAGAAAAGAAAATATGGTCTGTCTTGACTCTCACTGCTGTCAAGTGTTTAAATTGTCCTTCCAGCATATATTTAAAACACATTGTCATTGCAATGTTACCAAACAGTGAGCAAGTCAATGTATTTGAGACCACACAATGATTGACATTTTATAAGTCAAACAGAGAGACATGGAACCTCATTCTGTGACTGCTGTTTCCAGCTCTGAGGACTGCCGATACAGTTTTTGACAGTGTAGAGAGATGTGTAATGTTGGTTCACAACCACAAGCTGTGGAGTCACAAGGTAGCCTCAGCTCCTTGGTTGCTTGGCACACATTTCCTTGAATGGGAGAGAACCGAGGCTAAAGACAGTGAAGTCATTAGCACATTTCAAGTAGTTGTTCTATTTTGTGTGAATGTTGGGGTGTTTTCTGATTTTATTATTTTCTGCTATTCACTTTATTTGGTGAGTGTATCTTGGAAACATGTTATTGCAAAGTTCCAAAGCAATCCAACGGGGAGACACAGACTTTTGTGGTCACTTGGTCATACATGAGTGACCAAGGTCTTTGCCCCTCAATGCAAACCATCTACCAAGTTTTTTACATATCTTCAGAAGAATTCTACTACGACTCAACATAGAAAATTAAACTTTTCCCCCAAATGAAAGGACAGACTAACCCTCCTCTGTTAGGATGAAGTTCTTTCTGAGCAGCTGCCCCAACCACACCTCAACTGAGTTAGGGTGAAAAATTTATTTTCACCCCTAGATCATAAGCCATTGCAGAAGGCAGAACTTTTAACTTTTAAGAGTATATAGCTTAGTGTCTGGTACAAAGTACATACTAGATAAATTTTTATTAAATGAGCAAATGAATGAATTCCAATAATTGAATAAAAGTGCATATATATGTGTGTGTATATATATGCATACATATATGCATATACACACACACATATATTTTTTTTCCTTCAGATTTTCTGGGTCTTGTTTTCTGAGTTTACTCTTTCTATTGACTTTTTTCCCCCAGCTCTTATGACTACATTTCATTTTATTACATATTTTATTTATTTATTTTTCTAATTAAGCTTTCCATGGTTCACAGATCCTCAGAAAACAGCAAGGTCATCTACTGAAGGGTGTTTCTTGACCCTCATTCTTTTAATAAGCATCTCTGGCAATGATTTTAACTTCCCCAAAGGGATGGTACATATCTCTTATATTGTTTATATGGAGAAAGAAGAGAACAACATGATCAATGAAATTAAAGCTTTTGCATAATTAGAGGAAAAATACCCTTTGCCTGGCACAACTTCAATCTTCTTTTTCACCAGCTGCTAAGTCATTTTCATATCCCTAGCTGCTTTCTCCAAGCACAAACACACCTGTTCTCCCAGCTCAGTACCCATTTTATGCTGGCTCCTTGTGAGTAGGAGATGTGAGTGTGTTTTGACTTGCATCAGGTAGCTGAATAACCATCTCTTTATTCTGAGATGACAGTAGTCCTCTATGGCAGATGTAGGCAGTTGAATATTGGTCAACCTCAGAGTTTTTCTCCTGAGACTCTGAGGAGTTCAGTTCACTTAGCGAACCATGTGTAGGATAATTACAAGTTTGAATTTCTTTCTCTGCTCAATTTGTTGCTGCATTTTTCAGTGGAAGCTCCTCTGGCCTGGTTGTGCTTTATGCAATGGCCAGACATTAGTGTCTTGTGTCCAGTCTATAAACAATTAATCTTGTGCTTCCAAGTTCACTGGAGAGGCAGTCACCAACAGATTGGGTGCCTGGCAGCCAACATGGCGCTTCTTGCCCTGGCATTCAAAGAAGAAACTTGATATAATGCATAAAGGCTACACTGTTAATGTGTAAATGGGAACAAAGCAAAAGCCATTGTCAGATTTTAAGATTAAGGGAAGTCAACATTAAAGTACTTGGTGTGCTGATTGGCAGTATTTGGTAAATGTAGAGTCTACTCCCATCTTTGCTATACTTTTATACTTCCATCGGGTACAGATCAATTATATGGAGTTCAGTGGCTTTTGCATGCAACATCTTTAATACTTTTTGCTCAGGAGCCACCAACTCATTTTTATGGAAATTGCTTATAGGTCCCCAACCCCAGCTGATTTATAATAGTTTCCAAAATAATGGTGTCATTCTGAAGATTTCTTTTCATTGTTCCATTCTATATTTCTCCCATCTGGTTAGTTCACCACTCATCTTAATTAGTAAAATGCCATCCTGTCTGGTTCTCCCTTGCCAGCAAGTCATTCAGTTCCCAAATTGCTTCTTCACCTCTATCATATAGTTTAGTATTTTACAACAGGAAAACTGTAACATAGCACATTCTTCCCTTAACAGGGAAAAGTGAAATCCTCTACAGCAATGCTAATTAAGCAGAGTTTAACATTAGCTTTAATTTAAATCACCTCTCCTGAGACTTCCTAGCATATACCCAGGGTGTCATAAAATATGAAGCCACACTCCCTCTCAATTAGCATCCATTTATTTGGGAACAACACCAAGCAGCAATAAACAGGCACAACCTGTTCTTTTCCCTCATATTCTGCCCAGCAGCAGCCTGCTCATTGGATGCTTGCTTCAGAAGCAGCATCCTTTTCTACACGACTGGGTTAAACCAAATTGGAGCCAAGTAAAGTGTCTTCCGAGGCATTTTCCTCTCCAATCTTACATGTATTCTTTATTGTTGAGCTGTATCATTGCAGTGGGTTAACTATAGAAATAACCTGCACTAAAAGGAAGAGTAAATCACCCTCAGAATGGAATTGGTTTGGCTAGAGGTGATTGCAAGCAGAAAGTAAGCTGATGGTGAAGGATGCTGGGTATGGGATTGAGATTATATTAGGTCTGTGAATCAGATCTTTCCTTTTTAAAAAATTATCCCTGCAGTAATATCTCCACCTGCCCTATCTAAAACCTCCAAACTCTTCTGTCTCCTGCTGGCCAGTGCACCCATTTTTGGCCTTCCTGATCTCCTTTTATCAATGGACTATAAATGACTGGTATATATCTGGTACTACTATTTTTCTAGTTTTGTCTCTAGGGTTTGTGTTGGACATCCCAGATAAATATTTGTGTATGAGTAGCACTTACAATTGTGTCCCATTTAAAAAAAATTTTTAGTTGTAGATGGACACATACCTTTATTTATTTATTTATATTTTGGTCCTGAGCATCAAACCCAGTGCCTCACACATTGTAGGCAAGCGTCCCACCTCTGAGCCCCAATCCCCAGCCCCAATTTTGTCCCATTTTTACTGCATAAACATCAAACATCAAAAAGAACATTTATTTATTTTTAACTGACAGATAAAATTATATGTATTTATCATGTAAAACATGATATTTTGAAGAACATATACATTGTGGAATACTTAAACCTAGTTCATTAACAAATGTTTACTTCACATGGTTATTTTTGCAGTGAGAACACTCTATTTTTCAAGAGCACAATGTATACATTATACTGTATATTGTAGTTCTTGAACTTCTTCCTTGTATCTAACTGTAATTATATAACCTTTGATCAGTATTTACTCCTTCTCCTCTCCCAACTATACCAGCCTCTGGTAACCTCCATCTATTTTCTATTTCCATGGAATCAACTTTAGATTCAACATGGAATGAGATAATTGGGGTATTAGTCTTTCTATACCTATCTTATTTTATTCAGCATAATGACCTCCAGATTCATCAATATCACAAATGACAAGATTTCATTCTTTTGTGACTGGTGAATATTTCATTGTGAAAATATTTCACATTTTCTTGATCTAAGCACACTTTGGTTGATTGCATATCTTGACTATTGTGAATAATGCTTGTAATAAACACAGGAGTACTGAGGTCTCTTCAATATATTGACTTCATTTCCTTTGGGTATACACCCAGAAATGGGATTGTTGGATCATATGGTAGTTCTATTTTTAATATTTTAAAGAACCTGCATGCTTTTTCTGTGATGGCTGTACTAATTTACATTCCCATCAGCAGTATTTAGGGGATCCCTTTTCTCCACACCCTTGCCAATTCTGAAACAGAATGTTTTTAAATTAAATTAACTTACAATCTATCTCCTCACCTATATGAAATCCTAGCACACTTGTAACTGCTTAATTCAACTGTGTCAGTTATTCCAATAGTTAAGACCTTGTGCATTTACAAATGCATAGAGGGAAAAATTTATTTTAAACTGTTGGGATAAGTTAATCTTGGCAAATTCAGCCCAAACACAGAAGCCTTCTGTTTTTTGTTGTTATGTAGATGGGAGATAAAATTTTAATAAATAATAAATAAGAGAGGTGGGAAGAAGAAAAAACCCAAAGGAGATATCAATAATATTAAACCTCTTCTAGGTACCATCTGTTGCATAATCCATTAGCTGAAAAATTGCAGAGAGCCCTAATAATAGCATTTGAGATTTAAATAGCACCTTTCAAACAAAGAGCTCTGCTGTCACTAATCTCATCTGTCTTTACAACATCCTTTTAGAGTAAGTGACTGGGATAACTGTTATTATCTATACTTCACAAAGAACAACACCTTGGCCCAGGGTTCAGTAATTTAAGCAAGGTCATACTCCTAGTCAGTATGGCTTAGGGACGTGCATTAAGTAATGTTAAGCATGGGACACTTTTGTAATAGCTATATTGTTCAGATCTAGGGGGAAATAGTCCCAGATATAATTTAATGACTTAAAAAGCATTGTCCCTGATCTTATGAGCAAAGATCAGATCATCTTGCTCAAGGGAATGATGATCACATATGTAATCTAAGTTCTTTGTAAATGCATTAAATTATCCTTTGCTTTGGTGAAAATACTTAAAGGTCTATCTCTAGCACATATATATCCTTTTGATGCAAATATTTGTTTATAATTGTCAGGGTCAGTCACATATATGTGTGTGTATATGTAATGCATGTATGTATGTGTGCTCACCTGTGTGTGTATGTATACATTTAGGAGTGGAACTTTCTGATATTCTGGTTGAATCAGAGCTAAGCTACTATTATTGGAACAAATTTAGACAAAAAGCAGCAGTTAAGTGTGGTTGGAGGCAAACATGCAACCTATATTCTGTGAGATTTTTGATGCACTCCAGTGAGTTTCCCTCAAGTCTGGAGCTGGGCATCATCTTCCACTGATGGAAAATACTCTCAGTGCAGGTCGAGGTAGATTTGGCTGTGGGCAAGACCATGGTACTTCACAAGAAAAACCACAGTGAGAACTGAGGCTCCTTTAATATTTAAGAAATGTTTAGTAGGTCAGAAAAGAAGGTCAAATGCATTAAAAAAAAAACGATTCTCTAGATTTCTCAGTTTTGCTCATTTTACAGCTCTGGAAGCAAGTATTTAATATACTTATTTAGTTCATTTAATCAACAGATATTAATTAAGCTTCTACTATATGTGAGGTCTTTGTCTAAGTTCTAGGGACAGAGTACTTAACAAGACTTTCTGGCCTTTGGCAACAAAGGGATAGCAAATACAGAAAATAAACATATAGAAACAAAAGAAATAAGACTCTGTGAGTGTGTGTGTGTGTGTGTGTGTGTGTGTGTGTTTGTTACTGGGGCTTGAACCCAGGGCCTCACATGTGCTAGGCAAGTGCTGCTCTAGTACTAGCTACATATATCCCCAGCCCTAAAGCTTTTTAAAAAAGTGCCTGAAGGAAGTAGGAGGAAAAAGCATGGAAGGAGGTAATGGGAAAGAAAGAGAAACAGACCCCCCCCTTTGGATGAAGTGATCAAGGAAGTTTAAAAATTATATATTTATTTATTTTTAGGTGTAGATGGACACAACACAATACCTTTATTTTTATGTGGTGCTGAGGATCGAACCCAGGCCCTGCCCATGCGAGGCTAGCGTTCTACCGCTGAGCCACAATCCCAACCCTCAAGGAAGATTTTTGAGAGAATTATCTTGAAGCTGAGGTGTAAAGCCACTATTAATATGATATCTGTGCTATTTATGTGCTCCTTAATCTCTTCTGTGTCCCATATGCTGTAAAAGGATAGTATTTTGTTACCAATTCCTTTGGAATAAAGCTTGCTATACAACACACATTTAAGTTCTTGTAAGCATCAGTCTCAGACTTTGGTAGCAGGATATGTTCTTAACAATTGTTGAGGATCTCCCAAAATCTGTGATTTATGTTGGTTCTATTAATATTTGCCATATTAGAAATTAGAGAAATATAAACATATTTAACTTATTAGATTAGCTTAGCAATATAATTATATATCTTATAGATTCATATATAAATATACTTTTAAACAAAATAATTAGTGAGGAGAGTGGCATTGTTTTACATTTATTTTGGAAAATCTCTTTAATGTCTGGCTTTAATAGAAGACAGCTGGATTCGCATGTCTGCTCCTGCATTCAATCTGTTGTGAAATGTTGTTTTGGTTGAAGTGTATATTTTTAAAAATCCAGCTTCACACAGCTATGTAGTTGGAAAAGAGAGGACCTCATGTCCTTTCTGAGAACCCACTACCATAGAGTAGCTTTCAGCTCAGTATACATATACAGTAATTCCAGGAAAAATGAAAAATATTCACAGGAAGCTGGATATCTGGTGATCTTAACCATCTTCACATATGTTACTTTCAAGTGGTTTTCCTCTCTCATTGTTATGGACATGCATTGGGTTAAATTCATATAGCAACAGAACTCAAATATGACTCCCAGCAGTTCATTCCTTTTTATGCAACTTGCAAAGTGACTCTTACATCCCTGAATGTAGAAAATGTAGCAGGTGGTAGAAATTTATACACTCAGTCTCATATTTTCACTTTATTTTCTACAACTGATTCCAGTGTACTCTTGAGACCTCATTCTCACTGATGGCAGAATGCACTGGCTTTGCCAATACCACATAGCTTCATTTCTACTGTTCAAAACAGTCTTTTTTCAGTAATGATTCAATTTTCAGGGTCTCTTTCTGTCAGTAGACTGATGAGAAGCTTCTGGGCCCCTCTCTTGCCTAGGCCCCTTTTAAGGCTTGGAAGAATTCACAGCAATTTCTATGTTTATTTTGCATCCTTTTTCTTAAAGAGGACTGCTAAAACTGGAAGATTTAGGCATTACAAAACCTGGCTTTGACTCTCATTTCCCCTTCTCAATGTATTCCTTTCCCTCTCCTTCTCAAGATGGCATCTAGTTGAGAGGAGAGGTTAGTTATCCTTTTGGCAATTGTAGAGGGATGTCTGCTTTGCACTGTACTCTAGGTTCTTGCTGAATGAGCTACAGAAGTGTCCTTGGCCCTGTGAACTCTTGTGGATCATTGTTCTTTGCTGACTTGACCCTCAACTTGATAGTTGCAGTGAGACAAATCTGAGTTCCGACTGTGGTCCCTGGCTTATGAATTTCTTTGTGGTCGTTTGCTGAGGAAGTCACCATACCCACACTATTGATGAACCTTTCAGATTGAGAGAGCTAATACTCTGAACTATTTTCTGTGACCACTCTAGTCCCATGCTTCTTAGGGAACAGGATGCTTTCCTGGACCTATTTGGTCATGATCCTCATTGGTTATTTCTTCTCTAACACTCAGGTGCCATGTTGGATGATGCTCCATGACACTGCGGAGGTTCTGAGAGATTTGCAGACTGACCAGAAGACAACCTCCTGCTTTGGGATCCTATTCTCCTCATTCAGTGTGGGTGTTGCTACAACAAAGCACATTGAAATTTAATCCTAAGAGGGTAAGAGAGAAGTGAGTACATTTTTCTGATTTTTTGCCTTTCATTCTTTTTCTCTTTATTGTCTTGATTACTTTTTGCATATAGAGTTCAATAGTGTTAAGTATATTCACACTGTTGTGAAAGTGGTTTCCAGAACTTTCTCATCTATAGTCTTCCATTTGGTTTTTTCATGTTTGGTGTTCATCCTTTCAGCTATATTGTTCTCTATTGCTAGAATGCTATTTATAAAATTTGATTTTCATAATTATTAATTGTTTAGAACTTTTCAATCATTCTCCTTGCCTATAATATAAAGTCCAGATTCCTAGTGGAAGTATATAAGGTTGCTTATCACTCAAACTTTGACAACTGATTTGTGTCTCCACCATGCCCAGAGTACCATTTTCCCCCCTTATAACACTTAATTCCTTCTCCTCTCATAGTAAACCCCTTGAGAGAAGGGCCCTATGTTATAGGTTGAGCATCTGAAAATCTGAAATCTGAAATTTTCCAAAATCTGAAAATTTTTGAGTACCCATATAACTCTCAGAAAGTTTCAGATTTTGGGGAATTTTTGGACTTCAGATTTTCAGATTGGGGGGAAGCTCAGCCAGTAAAGTCTATGCAAATATTCCAAAATCTGAAAAACTCAGATCTGAAAAACTCTGTCATAAGCATTTCTGATAATCAGTAACCAAACTGTACTCATCTTTGCATCCTTATATTTTATATAGTTTCTGTATAAGATAGGTACTTAATAAATATTTGCTAAGTAAATAATCACTCCTAATTATTGGTTTAATTATTTTGAATTTTAATACATTATCTTTCCCTTAAACTGGAATACATATGTATATAACTAAGTTGGCTTTTCCTAAAGTGTGTGTATACGTATAGTGTGTGTGTGTGTGTGTGTGTGTGTGTGTATATAATTAAATATTTAGTATGTATCATATTAAAATATTAGTATAGAGATACGTAACATTTTGAGAAAGTTCTCCCGTCCTTAAAATCAACTTTAAAAACTAGTAAAATCTATGACTAAAAAGAAATTATGTAGTTTGAACCCCAAAGAGATTTACAGTCTGCTAACAATTCCATAGCAGAGTTGTATGATCCAGGGGTTTAATCTTACAGGGATTTTTAATCTTTTTAGTATTTAAGGGACATTCTCCCTCAATTTACTATGACTGAACAAAATATGGCAGACTCAACACATTGTGTACTATGTTTTTGAAGTGATTTCTTTGCTGAGTTAAGTATCTGTTTTGAACTTTAGTTCAATCCACTATTGTGACTGACTGTCAGGAAGCATCACAATTGCTGAGGTACAGAAAACCCATGTGGCTACACTCCATGTGTTCTTTCCCACAGTGTTCCCAAGCCTCAGTATTTCTCAAATTATCTACCTAACAGAGAAATGTGTCTCATCTCTTCCCGTGGCTGCAGCAAGTGCTGCACAATCTCATTCTTCTGTTCTCTGCCCTGAATTTGGGACCTTGACAGCTGGCTCCTGATGGGCCTAGGAATCATTTGTAGATGTTTATGTACCTTAAGACTCAATTTGAAGACTGACAGGCTTCTCTCTTTGTTAGCCAGGGCTAGATATTTCTCATATTTGCTTTCTTTCCTGCATTCTTCCTGTTCAGTCACATGCTTTTCAGAATCACCGTTTATTTTGGTGAAGCCTCCCCCCTCCCCCGCAGCTTCCTCTTGTAAATTAAGAATCTAAAGATTGAAGATCCTTAGAACTTGAGTCTTGGCCTTAGACTTGGAGAACCTGGGAATCTGTGCAGGCTCTGATTCTAATTGAGTAAATTTGCATAAGTCACATGACAGGAGTCTCTGTTTCTTCATCTATCATATGGGTTTATTATTACCTGATACATGAATTCATTAACATTTCAATGAGATTATTTGTGAGTGAATGCTTTGAAAGGTGTAAAGTGTCATACAATGTTGACTCGGTATAATAATGATGTATTTTAAAATCCATGTTGATTAAATTTCTATGGACGATGTGTGGATGTATTTCTGCTTTGTTATAATGACCAGTCATTTCAGCTAATTTGGTCAAATATCTAGTCAAATCCATTATTTTTACTGAACTGATTTATAGGCCTGTAGAGAGAAAGTCCAAAATAGCCTGGAAATTTAACTTTGCTGTTTAATAAAGAAGCTTCCTGTTTGTCTTGTTAATGGCACCTGGATGACTCACTTCTGAGCCAGATGTTGTACTTCATCATTTCATAATGTGTCATTTCTGCACACTGGCTTTCTTTTCATAGTTTCAGAAGCAAAGTCTATTTCGTCCCATCACCAGGATATTGTTGATGACAGCTGCAACACCTGAATGGGTAGCTTTAGCTTTCACATGGGCATAGAGATAGAAAATTTTCTCAGCATCAAGCCAGCAGGGAATGAAGCATATGGCGGGAAGAGGAAGAAGTGAAGACTAGTTTCTATAACAAACCCTCTGAGTTTTGACAAGGCTCTTTGATATACTGTCAAACTACCCCAGGGCTGAGAGGCAGGTAACTCTTCTCTATCTCTAGTCTGAGCACTAAGATTTGCCTGAGGAAAGAACTTCCTTACGTTGTTAGAAAAAAAAAAAAAAAGAACCTGTTGTGAGTTCTTCCTTATTAGACATGATAAGGAATAATTTGTATTTCTCCATGCTCATGCTCATCAGGTTTACCTGAAGAGATGTTTAGACCCCCACCCATTCCTAGGATATTTTAATTCAGTAGGTAAGGGATGAAACTCAGGCATCTATTTCTTAATGTATTAAGAAATAGTTCTTTTGATATTTCTGATGTGTATAATGTGTTAGAGAATCGAATTATGTGATGAATGATTGTTCTAGAAGATGTACTTAAAGACTTCCCCTAATGCTGAGTTTATATGAGACAATATGAAGATAGGTCTTCACTGGCGGGGCCAGTATCTGAAATACACACAGGGGCTAATAGGCAAGGTAGAATGTGTGATGCGACCTGTGGAATATAGTAGGTAGTGGTGGAGATTGTGGCTCTTGAAAGGCACTTAATTTAACAGCAGTGTCCGTGGACTAATCTGGCCTTGGTCTCCACTTTTACAGGAGTATAATAAGTCTTTCAGGGAGGTTGGCCGGGGCTGGAGGAAGGGGGAATTTTCTTATGCTTAAGTTTTCTTCAGCTTCTCCAGTGTGAAATACACAGTGCTATTTTCTTTTTAAGGTTTATACAACAATGTTAAAACATTAAATGTAAGAAATGTGTCTCGTAAATTGCCTTTCACAAAGAGGGAGGAGAGGAATATGATGAAAAGGGATCCATTTCCTTCTCTGGTTTTATCCCTCAGCTTATTCCATCTGACTACATATCTGGAGCACATAGTAGGTAAGGCTAAGGAGGGAACAAGTAAATTTGACATTCAGTGTATCTTGATTTCTTCTCTTCTTGAATCCACTCCTAATCCTGTGGGACAGTGGTAAGAAAATGTTAATAAAACGAGAAATATGAAAGGAAGATAAAGTACTTCAAGAAAATTTGAAGAACTATTTTAAAGTTAGAAGTATTTTAGGGGCATCTGCTGAAAATGTTGCCTAACTGTGGTATTCCTTTTTTTTTTTTTTTCATTTTAGGGCAATGAAATTTTATGAGTCACTAAATACATATTTTGACATCTGGCTTCACTGTTTTTTTTTTCCCCTTTCTTGAATTCTGTAAATTCTCATCATGAGAGTTTCCTCCTTGTCAGTCTTTTGATACTACATTTTCAATCATTTTCTGTGTGATTTGCAGATGGTGATACCTAATTGCCTCAGGCCTTAGGCCTGAATTTTCTAGCTAGAGTGAGGCATGAAGACAAAAAATGGGAATGTTAAATTTTGTGTGAAGACAGGGTAAGTTTTGGTCTTCCTTCACTATGTAATTTTTATCCTTTTGCCCATTTTATTTGTTAATGTAAATTCTTATATTTAGCATTATTTAGACATGATTTCTCACAGATTCAAAGATTCTCTTGACAAAATTTCATTCTGACACCTCTAGTTTTGGAACTCTGATCAATGTGAGATTCTGAGATGTTTTAATTTTGAATTTTTTGACTTTTTTTGTAGAGAAATTAATTTTACATTGACATAAGGTAATGACTGCTCTTTTATATGAGTAAATTTTTTTAAAAAAATTTAAACTGGTATTTATAATCATCAGAGAGAGTTTTAATTTCTAAAACCAATGAAGTATGTTTATGCTATATTATAGGGAGGAAATATGGATTAGCAATAGGGACTAGTAATATTCATGGCTATGAAATGAAAATTAAAATGGGATTTTCCATTTTAGGTTGTTGGCTGGAAGGCAAGGAAAGGAATAGATCATACTTCTCTGTTTCTGATCACTACCTTGTGAGGAGGTTACCTTGGGATTCTGGAGTGAGTCTGCTATCATGTGGTAGGAAATTTAAGATAATGTGAAGTTCCTGCTCTCTGTTAGCTATATTAGTGGTGCAGAGAAAATGTGATCAGATTCCTGCTTATGTACTTATACTTTTAGGAAATTAGCTCAGGATCCCTCATGTACATCTTAACATCTGAAAGGTCAACACTGAACTCTACCTGGACATGTCCATTCCTTAACTAATATTGTCTACTCTTAGGTATTGCTACCAGAGTACTGTTTTGCTTGAGTTACTCTGCATATATCAGGAATACTTCTTGGAGTACTTCTGGAGGCGCAGGGGCTAGTTGCTGAAGAACATTTAGGACTGCAGCATTCTTAGGACTGTACTAAGAGGCTTGGAATGGGGATAACCCTGAGTTACTGACATTTCCCAGTTACTGTGAACAAGGAGCTATTTATTTTAGAATCTCTGGAGTGGCTTTCACTTATGGAGTTGGTGAGGAAGATTTTTTTAGCCATGAAGAGGATACTGAGGCTCTGGAATTCTAGTGAGTTGTTGTGAGGAAGATATTCAACCCATTTGCCTGAGTGTTAAAGAAGTTTTGTTTTCCTGACTTTCCTAAAGAGAACTGCTTCATTAGGTAGCCTATCTTTGGTCAGGTCTAGAAGTTAAGAAAACTGAGGCCCAAATTGGAGAGCAATGCTTAAGAAAATCAAAATAAGTTTTATTTTTGGTTTCATAGGCTGCTTCTATAGCACTCACTGATTTCTACTCTCACTAATATAACATTTATCAGTCCAATAAAATTTGATTAAAATATTAGCGTTGTTTTTTATTTTATTGCCTCTTGCATCTGTGCATCTTACCCTGACAGCCACATTACAATGAGCCCAGTATTTATTATTCATGAAGACAGCAGAGGCATTGCAATTATTAGTTCTTTTTTAAATTAAATAGACCTTATGATAACAGAAAGATTAATAGGAGCAGGGGCAGCAAGTGAAGAAATGGGAAGGCCAACTTGCAAATCTGATTTAAATGTCTGGTATATTGAAATTGAGGGGAAGATGTAAAATTAAGAAAGTTACAAGCAGGAAATGGCAAACACCAGCTGAGGCGATGGAGAGTGCCATATGTTATATGTTCTTCATGCTTTTTTTTCCTACTGCTTTTTTCAAAAAAGACTATATATAAAATACACACATTATATATATACATGCATACATTACCCTGGCACATGTATCATTAAGGATCTCCTTGGAAAGACAAGTTGATATATTTATTTTTTGGAAACAAAAATTCAAAGTTATTTTCTGCAGCATCAGGTTTGCATTTATACCAGTAATCCCATGACTCTATTCATTGTTGAAGATTTAAAATTCTAGTCAGTTTCTTTTGGTTTTCCTGTTGGATTTTATCTGTCCAAGTTCTGAGCTCGGCTGTCTCTCTGTGTTTCTGTTGATGAGCATCCAAGGAATAGTTTTGAAGCCTGTTCCAATCTATTCTTCCCACAATATTTGTTTAACACGGGATAAACAATTGATCACAAAGAATAAACAATGATAAAATGTTCTTAATCTTATTATATTGGGGCTATGCAAATCTGGGCAGCATTTGTTACATGGAGGCAAATGTGAATTTCATGTGATTTTTATACTGCGGAATTAATTTTGAATGTCAAAATGACTTATCTCATTTATTATTCTCTGTTTAGATTTATTTTTAAAATTTGACATTTCCCCTGCAATTCGCTGTTCAAAACCTGTCTGCACATTTATATCCTTTCATCATATGCTGCTATAAACAATAATCAATAAAGCATCCAATAAAAAGTCTAGCATTGCTAGTTGTTAAGAAAGTCAGCAGCTTTTGAAAAAGGAGCAGCTATTCATCCTATCAACTTATCTACATTCCTCTAGGTCTTAGATGTCTTTGACCTCCTTAGTTTGCCTTCCAGATGGCAGTAGCAACTGAATTTCGTCTACATATTCTGTATTCTTGATTCATAGGGGGAAAAAATCCCTCTCATCCTTGATTAATAATTTATTATCATTTAGCATATTTGTAAAATTTATATCTAGAATTCTCTTCCTCCCAATAATAGCACAAATAGCAACGATGTCTTCTATTTTAGACAGGAGCTTGCCTTGTTCCTTACTTAATTCTCTGCTATTTTGTAGCTTGTAGGGGCTATTCTCCTTGGTAGGCAGTGCAAGTGGGCTTTATTTATCATCAAATATGTTATTCTAGATGTGACATTCTCTTCTAGAAGACCCATTTGAAGAAGGAAAAGTTTCCAAGTTAGTAAAAAATTGGCAGTGACCTGGTATGTCAACTTATGTTAGAAATGAGATTGATCAAATTATGTTATGTGCAGGTGTAAATATGGCATAATGAATCCAACTATTAAGTATAATTTTGATGCACCAATAAAAATAGACTTTAAGCATTTTCTAGATGATGATGACTTTAAGCCTTGTTACTTAGTCCAACATTTTAAAGGGAGCTTAATGGTATAGAGACAAGCATTACAATAATTACTACTTCAGAATGCCAAAAAGGTCTAGGCATCTAGGGATTTTATATGAGATTGAGGATTCGAAAAAAAGCTATGTCTACAATGACAGTGATAATTTTTGAGATACTGGATATTTTAGAAAAGTATCACCTCCTCCTGTTCCTCTTCTTTCTGTTTTTTTAAAATTAGTAAATGATGTGCCTATGTCTTGATTATCTGTTGTGTTTTGTGATAGTGGTAGGTTAGAAAAATGGAAACTGGAAGAAGGGAAACAAAGTTTCCTCTTTTATATCATAAGTGAAACAGTAGTTATAAATATAAAATCCAATGGTAATTTGACTGAGAGATATATCAGACCTAGCCAATTCTTTGTTTCAATCTTCACAGTGAGAAATTCCGAACAGCTGCCAGGAAGCAACACACTCTCTGTTTCTCAGGGGAGGAAGAAGGAAAACTAAAGGAACAAAGGACCGTGCCTGGACAGATGATGAAGCAATTAGACTATTGTGAAATCTAAAAGAACCGCAGTATCAGAACAATTGAATGAGAAAGTAAATTACTGAATGTAAAGCACTATACATACTTTGGAAAGATTTGGAGTATATAAGAAAGAAAGAAGCCATTTTGGAATCTTAATGTAAGATAAGGAGTAAAATAAACCTGTACTTTTTTTTTTCTGTCAATCTCTCTCCTGATTTCCTTGTTTCCCATCATGTTGGAGGTCAGTGAGAAGAGTCAACATGGACCATTTTTCATGAAGGTGGCCACTAGTCACCCAGAATGTCACTATCTTTTATTCAGTACTTTGAAAAATGTACTTAAATAAATAAATGAACACCCCATTTCAATTGAGTCATTTAGTGGGAGTCACAAGGTGAGAGGCCACAGTATAGACTAAGCCACATCACTGGTCCCTTGAAAAAGTAAGAGTGGAATTTTTATGCTTATCAATACTAGTAAATAATAAATGTTTTTATTTCTTATCTTTTACAATATTTACCTTCAGTGTGATGTTCAGGTACTGAGTATTCCAAGGTTAGAAAGATTGATGAATGGACAGACAGGAAGAGTGAAAGACAGGAAAAACATTTTACAGTTCTGTAGCATTTCCAGGCTATTGGTGCCTACTAATTCCTTCCTGTTGTACATCTTCTAAACATAGCTTTCCTTATGAGTGATGTGTCATATTTAAGATAGGCTTTAAGTGTTACTGGGAGAGTCCTATTTCTTCCAAGATATTTTTGTTTCTTACTCTTTCAGTCCTTATGGTTTAACCATTAAGAATTAATTTCTTTAGATCTTCTAAACTATCCCACTGAAATGTAAGTGTCCTTGGAAAGATAACACCTTGCATTTCCCTCAAAGATAACACCTTGCATTTCCTTGAAGCCTGGTTGGATAGGCGGGTAGACTCACTTTAGTGAGATAAACCCTGCTTGAATATAACATAGGCTAGTGTAAGGATGGAGGAAAGGACAGCCATGTTCCAAGAGGATAGCTGAGCAGGGAGGTGAGGAACTGTTACTTAGATGGGGAGTGTTATGAGTTACTCTCAAGAGAACTAGTTAGCAGTTGAATATAGCTTCCATTCTAGAATTGAACAGATGAGTTACTTAAAATGGTTGCTTTGGGGGGCAGGTTGAAGAATTTTGTTGTTCATCATCTTCCTGAGAGTCACATATAAACAGGCTTACTTTCTATTTTAAAACAAAGAAAACAGAGGGCTATGACAGAAGTACCCTGTAATTGTGACCATGTGTGAATCCCAAATATAGGCCATAACAATATTTCTACCTGCCCCTGCAGGAACTAACACATTTGGTGAACTACTTTCTAAAATTTCAAATAAATTATAAAAAAATTCAAAAAAAATGGGAAAGTCAAAGAAAAAATGTTTTATCTTCCAAAGACAACTGCATATAAATTTCTAGTTTTCTTTCCTTTAAATTAATATGTTTCCAACTATTGTACTGCAAAGGAATAGCCATTGCAAGAAAGTTTAAATTCAGAAGGTATAAAGAGAAGAAGTCTTCCAAAACCGTACTAACTTAAGAAATGGCCACTAAGAACATTTGTGTATTTCCTTTATGTATTTATAAAAATCTGTATATATGGGTTATTGCAAATGACTTGTTCCCAAAATTGATTCTGCTTTTCTTCCGGGGCACACAATGACTCAATTAAAAACCACATTTCCCAGATTCCATTGTGGCTAGGTGTGACCACATGACAAAATTTTCACCAATGAGACATGAGAAGAAGTCACATGTACAATTTCTGGTCATTTTCTGTAAAGTGATTGTCCTTGACCTATTCTTCCTTTTCCTTTCCACTCACAGGGACTGATTGTTAGGAGGGAATAGGAGGTCCAGGCTGATCAATAAATGGCACAAACACCTACCCCAATCTTTGTCCTGTTGTACTTTTTATCTTGGATTACCCATTTGCCATCTTGGAGAATCCAAACTTTAGCAGAAGGAATCCTACATTTGTGATTCAGAAGTCCAGAGATCCCTTGGATATAGTGCCTTCCTTACAAATAAGCTGATGGGACTTGGAGAAATTCAAATTTTATATTACTATTTTATAAATTTAAAATACTCTGTAAATATTTTAACAAATACTCTATATATTCATTTTGGGACATATCCCTATATCATTACCTGTTCTTGGAATACATGATCTTTCAAGAGTTGTATAACTGTCACATGGATAAGTATTACTTATTAGAAATTTTTGCTCTTTTAAATTTTATTATAAAATTTCTCTAGGGGACTGAGGTTGTGGTTCAGTGGTAGAACACTCGCCTAGCATGTGCGAAGCCCTGGGTTTGATCCTTAGCACCACATTAAAAAAAGAAAAAGAATAAATAAAATAAAGGTATTGTGTCCAACTACAACTAAAAAAATAAATATTAAATTTCTGATATAGAAATAGATATGAAATCATACATATGAAATATATACATATATTCAAATTTAAATACACAAATATTTAAATTTATTTTACTTTGAATTACTATTTTGTACTTTAGATTAAATGCTGAAAGTGGAATTACTACATCATGGGGCATGTATATTTTAAAGACTCTTGACATATTTTGGGGTTAATAAACTGTGACCACAACTGTGAAGTACTAGGAAAGGATCTGTGAGTCTCTTCCCAAAAGATTAATTATACATATGGCAGGAAGGGAAGGGATCATGGAATGCTTGCATAAGGATCATGAAAAGTTGCTCATTGTCAAGAAATTATGCTTGTTTACTCTCTAATGATTCTGTGACAGAATAGAGAAGTACTTGATTTTCAGTGTATTGAATAAACTAAGAAATTTGAAATTAGATATCACCATGCATCTTGGCTTAAATAACTTCAGACCTCTGCAAGCTCCTGATTTCTGCTTTAGGTGACAAAAGGGAATAGAATATTTCTCCATTTGAAGCAATTACCTACGTGCCACCTTAAAGTTTGGCTACATAGCCCGAGAGCAAATTCTTCCTTGGTAACCATTCCTTAAATGAGAGGCAGTCTGGGAGAGAATTCTAGATGGTCTGTATTCCATCTTCAACAGAGGCCTAGATGTTGTGAGGTGTTATTGGAATGCTATTTAGCATTGTCTTTATTAGGGAATAAAGGCATAATAGAATCATTTGGTTAGTACCTTCTGTTTCACTGTCATAAGAAAACCTAAGTAAAACTTAGCTCAGTGCAGGGAAAGGTACCCTAGGTCTGGTAGCTTATAACAACACTAGTTACTGAAGGTATCAGTTTTGCATGAAATCAGTATCCTGCGAAAGGCCTTCTGAACTCCATTACACAGATATTCCATTCCCCTACTCTGAAATTGTTTCTTCTATTTTAGATTAAAATTTGAAGGATTACTTTGACATGAATTTCATAAAAGGATTTTCTGACTATACAAAAAATCAAATTTTATATATTTATTTTTAAAAAAGTTTTGGCTAGTGAGACTGTCCTATTCCAATTACTGTAAATGCTATTCATAGAAAGAAAGGAAATAACTTTCTAGCATAGTTCCAAGTCCTAGGGAACATACACCATATCTACATTGTAGTATGCAAATCAACTTCTTCACATCCGTAGTTTTTACTATTCTGAATCCATAGTATCCTATGGATAAAGTAGCTCATCTACTTTATTCTTTGCTATAGGAAGCAAGGACATAATTTTGGTTTCTTTTCCTGGAAATAAGAACAGAAATATAGTTTCTCTTAATACTGTGTTTCTTCAGTGGCAAATGTAGTTTCTGTTGACTGTTCCTTCTCATGTCCACATATGCTATCCACCAGCATCCTAGTGGCAGAAGCAATATACTCAGACTTTCCTCTACATGTAGTTCAGCCAAGACCTAACTTCATTATGGTTGCCTTGCTTACTAATAATTGAAGGAACAGTTATATCTATGCTGGAAGTAGTGAATGTATAATCAGCCAGGTTCAATTCTGAATGCCAGTCCTACTATTCTACAGAAACCATATTGGCAGACATTAGTCTCTCATATTCTATATTGCTGCATTCCTGAGGTCAAACATCATACAAGATGATACACAGGGTAAGTGTGCAGAAAAATCTAATTGTGAATCAGAAGAGTAATAATGGAGAACAACCACATTAAAAATAAATTAAAAGGTTATTTTGATTAAGAATTTTTGAAACTACACAAACCAATGAAATAGAAACAAGAGTCCAGAAGTAGACTAAGTGTATAAGAAATTTAATATTTAGCATTTCAAGTCAGAGGAGTAAATGCCTACTATTTAGCAAATATTTTGAGGTTCTGACTAGCCATTTAATAAATACAAAGTTGTATTAATAACTTCCTCTATAGATGAAATAAATTTGGACAAATCAAAACTTGATTTAAAAATGAAATAGTAAAAATCACTCAACAAAAACATGGGCAATTTAAAAAAAATCTTAGAGGAGGGAATGCTTTTCTAAGCATGACACAAAATCTAGAAATCATAAAAGAGTTATACATATGACTAGTAATGAAGTAAAACTTCTGTATAGAACAGAAGTTTAAAAAGTTAAGAAGCAAATGCTAGGAAAAAATGACTTCAACAAATGTGACAAATAATTTCTTTATAAAAGGGTATTTACAAATCAATAAGTAAAACATAAATAGGAAACTAGGCAATGTACAAGAACAGCTGAAGGCTAGTAAAAGTGGAAGAGGAATGTGTGGAAAAGGACTTTGAAATAGGTTGGAGGAATCTTATGAAGAGTAGGAGAGTTGCCATTTTAAGATGGCAGATATTGTCAGGTAGCATGGAGCCCCAGAAGCCCAGCCAGTGCAGACCACTTCTTGTTGTATAGAGAATATTGCCCATTGCCTATATTGAGAAGCCATGTGGCTATTTCTGTACTCTCAGTATGGCGAGGATCTTAACATTGAATGTTGCCTGCACATGGTTTGTGGCTTGTTCAACAGAAGCCAACCCTTAGCTTTGACCTGATATTTTGTCCAGCCTCTTCTGTTTGCCCATGTGATTTTTTCTCCTCCTAGAAATATAGTACAGAGTTGTTGCTGTCCAGAGGGATATTGGCAATAAGGAAGGGAAAACCTAGCAGTTGTATTTCAGCAGGTATGGCCAGTGATTCTGCACCCTTGGTTACATATATTGCAAACACACTTTCTGGAAGGGTACTTGGAGAGTGAACTAAAGTAGAAGAATTCTGTATTTATTTAAAAGTAACAAATATACATTATTTTATAGCAAAATAGTTAAAACAACAACCTCCCCCTTCCTCCAAGTCCACTTTAATAAATTTCTGGAACTGTCACAGCAATATGTATTATCTGTCATCAGATGATCTTAATTATTTAGGTGTTTTGAAGCCTTGGTGATGTTTCAAGGTCATGAGGTTGAAGCTACCATACAGGTTACCTTTCATTGAAGCCATTTCATATTTTTTTGCAAAGTTGAAACAGTCATACATTCTTCAAGATCAGCTGCCTAGTAAATAGAACCAGGGTGAGTGCCTCACTGACAGCTCCACATCCTGCTAGTTGAATGATTCTGTGACCCAGCCTTTCTTCAGACTAGTTTTCCTCACCTGTGGGAGAATAATAATGACACTTATTTCTTGCGGTTGCTATGAGGGTTAAAGGAGATAATATAGTATTATGTAAGTTGTAAATTTATACTTAACTACCAATCATTAATAGCAATAATGCCACAGGGATTACACAAGTGGAAGTTTTTCTTATTATTTAGATCAATAGTGCAGGAAGTTGTACTGTGGCTTCATTATATGACTAAGATGAATTATTCAAGAGAAAAAGAATGCTCTCTCCACAGGTGCATGCCCGGTATGAGTCAAGTCCAAGGATAACAGTTGGAGTTAACATCAAGGGTAAAGTATCAAGTCCAGGGACTAGAGTTTGGGTCCAGGTTGAGGTTATGGAAGCAAGAATCTGGGAACCCGGGTGAAAAGATATCAAAAGTGATTATACACGATGTGGAGTTTCACTGGTTGTATATATATGAACACAGGAAAGTCATGTCTGATTCATTCTACTATCTTTCCTCTTCTCATCCCCCCTCCCTTCCCTTCACTCTCTTTTGTCAAATCCAGTGAACTTCTATTTTTCCACTCCCTATCCTCCTTTGTTGTGGGTTAGCATCCACATTTCAGAGAGAACATTCAGTCTTTGGTTTTTGGGGACTGGCTCATTTCACTTAAGTTGTTTCCATAGCTTAGCTTTTGTGAAGTTCAGTGACTTGAGCTGCTGTAAACATTGATGTGACTGTGTCACTACAGTATGATGATTTTAAGTCCTTTGGGTATATACCGAGGAGTAGGATAACTGGGTCAAATGGTGGTTCCATTCCAAGTTTTCTGAGGAATCTCCATACTGTTTCCAGAGTGCTTGCAGCAATTTGCAGTCCCACCAGCAATGTATGAGTGAACATTTTCCTTTCTAACATTTATTGTTTCTTGTATTCTTGATAACTGCCATTCTGACTGGAGTGAGATGGAATCTCAGTATAGTTTTAATTTGCATTTCTCTAATTGCTAGAGATGTTGAATGTTTTTCATGTATTTGTTAACTGATCACATTTTTTCTTCTGTGAAGTGCTTGTTCAGTTTCTTTGCACAATTATTGATTGGGATATTTGTTTTTTTGGTGCAAAGTTTTTTGAGTTCTTTGTATATCCTGGAGATCAATGCTCTATCTGAAGTGTAGATGGCAAAGATTTTCTCCCATTCTGTAGGCTCTCTTTTCAAGTTCTTGATAGTTTCTTTTGCTGTGAAGAAGCTTTTTAGTTTGAATTCATCCCGTTTATTGATTCTTAATTTTAATTCTTGCGTTTTAGGAGTTTTGTTTGGTTCCTATGCCAACATGATGGAGATTTGGACCTATTTTTTCT